AGAATTACAATAGTCCAGCCTTGAAGTAACAAATGCATGGACTAGAATACAAGCAGCAGCCCAGCTGATGACTCCCTCCAGGATGATGTCACTGGTAAATAAAATGAGAGCTGATGGAGCTGCTATGATGGGAAAAATCAGAAAATAAAGTTTAAAGTTTAATCAAAAACAACGCAGGACTGGAGAACAGAAGTGGAATAAAGCAGTGAGGAAAAGGGGTCCCTATGTCCTCCAGCAGCCTAAGCCTTTAGCAGCATAACTATAGAAATAGGTCAGGATAACCTGAGCCACTCTAACTATAAGCTTAATCAAAAACAGTTTTAAGCCTAGTCTTAAAAGAAGTCCGTATGACAGTATCATCCATTAGTGGGAGTGGTCTTCAACCAGCAATATCAGCAATGGCATTGGGTGGATTCACTTTTATGACCAAATCTATCTCTGTTTGCTTTATGTTCTATATCCACTAAAATCCATCAAAGTTTCATCATAAGACATTGAAACTGAGGGAAAATTCATAATGATGTATTTTAACTTTTGTAATTTTAGCTGTAAAACATTAAAGCCTCATAGAAAATACTGTAAGAACAACTTTTATGAACTAAAGAACTAAAATGTTCTTCTGGTGTGATTCAACAAACCTCTGCCAGGAAGAATCTGTCGTCTTTTTCACTTTCCTTTCTGACTCTGCTCTATCCTCCTGGTGTATTTCCTGTCACTACTGCTGTTACTGATTGGCACTATTATAAGTGAACAAGTGAGCTGATTAGACAGAGAGGCGGACAGAGTCATTAAAACATTTCTTTTCAGCAAAACTTTTGGTCCCCCTTAGAGGTTTCTTTTTTCTCTTTTAAAACAGCTTTTATTAATTTATTTTATTTTATTTCTTTTATCTCTATGTATTTCTTTTTTAATGCTTTTTTAAATGCTTTTTTGTAGCACTTTGAGGCCTTTTTGGTGAAAAGTGCATTATAAATTAAATGAATTATTATTATTATTATAAAATGTTTCTATTCATTGCATTTTTGTAAACGTCTGACTGTTTCACTTTAAGCCTGGTTAATTCAATACAGCTGATATACTTCAAAACATAGTAAACTATTTGCCACAAGTCAGAGGCTCTTTTAATCCTCATCAAATGGAAAAGTAGGAAAAAACGAAATATAATAAGTTAGACCCTAAAGAAAAGAAAGTAGATTTTTAGCCGATTCTTAACTTAAAAGGGTTTCAGTAATTTAAACTTTAAATCTTGATTTAGTTTAGTATGGAAGCCCGTTTCCGCCACTCAGTACAAAAAACAAAAAAA